CCTATAAAGTGACATGCAGTACCTTGCCATTTTTGCTATCATCTTTTGCAGCACTCATCTTCTGGAATATGTCTCTATGAACTCAGGATTGAGACATAAGCTTGGATTAATCAGATGCTTTGGACTTGTAGATTTTTAACAGGAAGTGATATATAATTTTTAAAAAGTAAAATAATTAAATTTTTACAAGACTAACCTACCTCAGTGTATAATTATGTGGGTAAACTGGAATGAAGAGGAGAGAAAAACATATTTGTTGCCCTGAATTCCCGGGAAAAATAAATATGAAATGGAAAAGCAGACCTTCGTGGAGGGTAACTGACACCGATATCAGTTTTTGCTGGTGCAGGTTAACAAAATACTTCCTTCCACAAATCTAGGCAGAGGAGAAAAGGCAATGCAAAATGTAAACTCTTGAAACAATCAAAGCACTGGACAAAAATCTGTGGTTATATTAAATGAGAGAGACTGCAGAATGGTGAAGAGGACAAAGGATTAATGCCAGGAGACGGGTTGACATACAGCAGACTGCTTCCATTTCCATTTCCTTTGCCCCCCAATACGACAGGAGAGCAACAGGTTCCTCTGAAACCGCTTTGCTAGAAAAACCCAGGCCACGGGCCACATGGAACTGAAGTCGCCTGGTATGCCCGATGTCAGATTCTTTGAGGGTGATTTCCTCTAGGCAACCGGTGTCCTTCTCCGGCTTGAAGGAATCAATCTGCTTATTCCTCCTAACTATCCATCACCGGCTGGACTGCCCATGGGCTCCGTTTTTTTTCACTTTTCCTTCCATTATGCAGGCTGCAATGTTAGGGAAATGGATTGCGGTGCTGCCTTCAAATAGTGGTGGCCAAGGAGCTGCACAAATGGGCAAGCAGGAGACAGCAGATGGAGGGGGAGGCAGAACAGGAAACTCATTTACCCAGAGTAAAAATAGGCTGGAAAATGTGACATTTATTAAGTACAATTGTGGAAGAAAGGTCATTGCCAGCCCCAGCATCAAGATGGGGTGCCGCTGATTATACAGCTGGGGAATGAGGCAGCAAAGCCAGGCTGAACAACAGCAGCTGGGGGGGGGGAGGAGGGGGGGAAGGGAAGGGCAGGGAGAGAAACAGAAATGTATGCGTGTTTGGGTGTTGCTGCTGTTGTTGGGTTGTTGTTGTTTTTGGGGGAGGGGGTGTTTCAAGCCTAAAATGCACCAGCGGTGACTCTTGCCGTTTCACATGAGATACTTCAGTATCAGTATCTGCCTACACCCTCTCTGACCGATCCACCTCTTCAGTCTTCAAGCCCCAGTCAAGGCGTTGCTTAAGGAAACCCAAGCGAAGAGACCTACTGCATCCCCACCAACTTCTTTTGAAATTCTGGACAGCACCAGCCTTTAACGGGTGGCTTTCCTCTGTCAGAACTGCAGCCCTCTTTGCTTTTCAATTCATGTTCTCATCCAACCCTTTGGACACCATGCAAACCTGGCTTGCGGAATTAAATAGCTCCAGCATATTCCTCGCTTCCACCCACCCCCGTTGTGGCTAGATGTCGCCTATCTCGGATACTGTTCTTTCTCCCCTCTTGTGGCCTTCAAATACCAAGGTCAAAGAAATGGGAGGTGAAGGGGAAAGTGGCGATCTACCTCACAACCTCTTCCAGGGAGGGAGGTAAGGCCAGCGGCACACAATCTAAAAAGAAAACAATTGCCCTCGCCAAAGAACCTTTGACATTGACACCAATTTTTTTTTTTTTTTAGAAATACATTAGTTTCCCCTCCAAGTGGTGGAAGTGGAATCCCCGCAGACCAGTTGCCAGCTGCGTAATTGTTCTTTTGAGTGTGCGGCACTTGGTGTGGCTGAGCTTATTTCCTCCAGCACCTCTCCATAAAACTTCATTTGCACTTCCCCCTTTACCACTTCCTTGTGAGCTGCCTGGATAGCCTCTCCACCTGTGTATCTGGGAGACGCTTTGTACTCCATCAAGGAAAAAAGGCAGTCTAGCCCCAACGGGAAGCAGACTGCTTGTCCTGTAAATACGACGGTCATTGAGTGTGGGGGGGAGAGAGTGGAGGATGCGTCTATTTAAGAAAACGAGTAAAGTAAACGAGTGAAGTTCAGATCCACTCCTAACACAGATGCTTCCAGGGTAAGAAATCAAGATTAAAAAAACAACAACATACACATCGTAACAAGCCAAAACAGCTGGCTTGGAAAGTGTTGCAAACCGATCCTGAAGAGGTTAATGGCTAAACCAAACGTTTGTCTTCTGATGCCTGGGATCCTTGCTGCTGCACAGGGAATGGGACAGGATGAGACCAAAGCAGAACACTTCCCTCAGCTAATGCATGGCTTCCAGGGAATCTCCCATCCAGTAGAATACAAAGAACCAATTGATTTTCCCGGCTCAGACCAAACAGCCGTTGGTGTGTGTGTGTGTGTGTGTGTCTGTGGGGGGGGGGGAGAAGGAAGGACCCTGCTTAGCATTGTTTGAGGAGTCTAAGCCACTGAGTTCACGCACAGATGCATTCACAACATCACCAAGAAAGAGGAGGTGCAGGGTAAGCGGCGAGGTCTCTCTTCCGTAGCCGTTCATTTCCCCATGCATCTGAGAGAGCAGGCGGCCAGCGTGGCTCAGAAGTGAGCAAAGCCTGCTAAGATTTACTACACGGGCTGGGCTTTACTGCACACAGGATGCTTACACTGGGGAATCTTCCCAGCGGCTCTTTAATTTGCCATCCCATAAAGAATGTGAATTTGTGACGCTAAATAGAGGCAGATCATTTGCCAAGCACAGGTCTTACTTACAGGTTCTTGAAAGGGGATTCATCAGGAGAGGCAAAGGCTGGCGCAGCCGTCAGCTTAGCAGCAGAGCGGTCACAGCCACAAGAAGTAGCAGAAACAGCCGCTGCGCTTTTACCAAAGGGAATCTGGACCCTTTCAGGGATCTTTCTGTAACTTGCTACTAGGTACTACAGACTCATCTTCCCCATGCCTTACACCTGTTCATTTCTGTTCATAGCCTCTCCCCCCCCCCCCCCCCCCCCAAAACCAACAACAACCAAGAGTAGAAAAGAAAATGACAGCTAGAATGGTCAAAAAAGTAAAGGGAATCTTTTGTCCCCCATATTCTCTATACCTGTCCTCCTAAAGCCACTCATGAACAGCCATGTCTTTGGCACAGGGATTCCATGGATGGGACATTTCCTTCCCTCAGTAGCTTCCCACAACATGCAGTGCCCCCCACCCAGAACGGCATAAGTCTTCTGCTGCACCAGAGCAGACCTTAGTTCTGAATCAGACATTTAAATCTCAGAGCCAAAGGACACCTTATTTAAGGAGAATCATGACTAGGTTTGCTAATAATAGTGTTGTTTGTTTCATTGATTGATGGTGTTTTAATGAAATGCAGCCTTAGGAACTGCCAATTTCTTCGGACCGGTGCTTGGGAAAGGAATGGAGACTTAATTCATTGCATCAAGGAAAGAAAAAAAGAATAAAACCCTTCCTGATCGACTGTTGGCCACATAGAGGGGGAAATGCACGCCTGAGAATTTCCTTTGTGGGGCCAACAACAGCTGGATTGAAGGGCAGATCCAGACCAGGAAAACAGAATGAGAGGCGTGTTAAACACCCTCTCGGTCCTCCTCTCTCAACTGCTGAAGACATTGGCAGACTCTGTGGTTGCATTTCAAGAATAACGACCATTTCAAGTAAATAATCAGGAGACCCAGATGCAAATGTGAAGCCCGAGGAATTGGGGTGGTGCTGGTCCGAGTGGGCAGAGATTAATCTGACTAACACGCAGTTTGTGCAATTTCACCTCAGTGTTTTGATGTTGGGCTGATGCATCTTCAGAGCAGTCTTCCTACTCCGTATTGCTGGTGCTTTCCCCCACTCCAGCCAGGGGTTCTGACACAGCTTATATGGGCCTCATGTAACCAAGCACTTTAAACAACCATTGATAACTCCGGGCCAAAGTTGTCATCTATCGTTAGGCGGCCCCTGCCTTGTATTCCTCTGCCAAATCTGACATGCACTTTCACAAGCAAAGACTTTTTGAGGCCAGATGACAGCAGCAAGCAGGAGTCTGAAAGCTGATCTTTGACCCACCTCGCGTGTGTGCTTATTATGCATATGCATGGGTCATTTTCTCCCCATCCCTCCATTTATATTTCTTCTTGCTCAGCACACTCCTCCTTTTAACATCCCACCCCCCCAACACGCACACGGTGATCAGGAGGCGAAGCAGTCTCCCGTGTCTGCAGGAGAGAAGCAGCTCATTTCCAGAGTCATTATGGTCTGAAAAGGGTCCCATCAGGTATTCCGCCCGCTCAGCACATTTATTTCCCCAAACCACAGCGGGGATTTGTGATTTTTCAGACCCAGTATCAAGCACGCACAGGGCTGGCTCATTCCACCCAGTAGGAAGCTTCTCAGATAATGCAGTCAATACCATGCCAGAAACGTGCCAAGAGAGAAGATGGCAGAGTGACTGCCATACTACCTTGGCCTGGGCAATGCCACTGCTACAATGGGCACTGAACTGGGAGTACAGTTTGTTTGACACTGGGAAAAGCCCTTAAGGAGCAGAGCACTGGAAAAATGCAGGAATCCCTAAGCATATTCAGTACTCGTCTGTGCACCTCATATCTTTAAATATCTGAGACCTTATGGTCTTCTCTTGTAACTTACAGGATTATCAGCTCTTGCTTCCTGCCCCATTCCTCATTCTCAGTGGCCATTTATTCAAACAGAATTATTCAGGATGTTCCTATAATGTCCAGCCTTCTTATGCCTAGGTCATCCTTTCGTAACCTCCTATTTCATTCAGTATCCCAAGTTCCCAGGTGTTCAGGTCGCACTTGTACCACAACTACTCTTCTTTTTCAGACTGATACTTAAGATGCAACCACAGCCTTGACATATACTTGGGTACTGACAAGACATTGATTCCAAAAAAAAAAAAAAACCCCAGGAGAAGAACACGGGGAAGGGAGAATAGATACTCACCACTGTGAAGTTTTCTGCAGAGCAATTCTCACCATTAAAGCTGCAGTTCTTCAGCATGTCATCAAGTTGATGCCCAGTGCGGTTGACAATGTCAGCCATGTCTGGGTCAGGGTAGAGCAGGTCAGAGGCCTTGTGTCCATCACGGTCCTTGGGTGGCAATCCAGTCATGTTGGCTAGGTGAAAGATATCGGCGTCTGTAAGTGCCGAATGACGGAAACGGTTGATGTTACAAATGGTGACGGCTGGGAAGACCATCTTTTGGGCAGCCTCCTCATCCAGGGTGGTGACATGCGGATGCTCCAAGTAGAAGAGTGCTGACCGAGCTGCCTGATACAAGAAAAAGGCCAAAGAGGCCACAAATGCAAGGGCCCAGAGGGCCTGCCGGACCCCCAATTGCCCTGAGCGGCAAATGTGGGCCAGGCCGTGCAGGGTGCTGGTGCCAGCAAAGGCGGCCAGGTCACGACGGTGTGGCCGTCTAGGCTCCTCTAGCAAGCTCTCCTTGTCCCCTTCCTCTTTCGCCGCCTGCTTCTCATCCTCCTCTGCAAATTTGATTTTGCAGACAATCTCAATCGGCATCTGTGCCGAGGCACCAGGCAGCACGCTACCTCCCCAGTGAGGGGAGGCAGTGGGAGCCTGAGGTGCCCCGCACCGGCCGCTAACCCCTGGCTGCTGCAGGACGCCCCTAAATTAGTAAACCCAACCAGGGAGGAGGAGGAGGAGGAGGAGGAGGAGGACTGGGGAATCGGGGCCCCAGTCTCTCTCCGAAGCTTCTGAACGCAGCTTTCCTCTTGTCTCACTAGTGATCTTCTGGTGCTTCTGTTTGCTTATCTGCACAAGCCCAGCTGTCAGAGCTGCCCGCCCGCTCCCTGTGCCGCTGTGTGTGCCGCTCCTCTGCGCGCCCGGTTAAGACCCCACCAGATACAGGCAGCATTTAGGCATCATGTGCTAATAAAATCCAGGGGATACTTAATAATTCAAGGCATGTCAACATTATTTCATCCTCAATTTTTTTTTTCTTTCTTAAAAGCAGGGTGTCGAGGGCTACTGAAAGATACTGAGCAGAAACGGGAGCAGCCAGAGCTTGGATTGCCAGAGCCACCACTCCAAAGTGATGCTACAGCCACTTGTTTGAATCACTCGCAAGCTGGCAAAGTCTCCGCCAAGGAAAGGAGCAAAAGAACCAGAGATCGAGGCTGCTGCTGCTGCTGCTGCTGCTGCTGCTGCCGCCGCCGCCGCTGTTGCTGCCGCTGCTGCTGCCGGCTGCGGGAGCTCCTCAGACAGACTCCCTGGCTCTCACTCCGTGCCTGACACCCACTTCCTCCGGGGAGTCCCTTCAGGTGCCCAAAGCAGCTGCCCGGCTAATTCCTCCTACCTTCCATCTCCGCGGTCCTTCCGAACGCCGCCTTAGCCAAACGCCGAGGGAAGAAGAAGAGAGGAAAAGTTGAGAGGGACGGAGAAGGGCAGGAGGGAGCTCCCCGCGTGTCGTCGGTTGGTACCGGGTCCAATGGACAAGCGGCGGCACACACGACACCCTCCCCCCCCCCAACCACCCGCGCACCACCCCACCCGCAGGCTCGAGAACTGTCTTAATTGGAGAAGGAGCGGCGGAAGAAGGAGAAGCGGAAGCGAGGAGGAGACGCCCCCCCTCCTCCTATTGATCCCGCTCCCCACGGAACAAACAAGAGGCAAAAAGTGAAAGGCTTATTGATCGGCGGGAGGGAGCGCAGCTGCCGGGGATGAGGGCACGCGCGAGCGGGCGGGCGAGGAGGAGGAGGAGGAGGAGGAGGAGGCGAGCGCTTTCCGAGGCAATGAATGAATGCCGCGCAGCCGGGACCGCGGCGCTGCCCAGACCCAGGCTGCAGCGCAACCTCCTTCCCTGCATGCTCGATTCCCTTTCCTCCCTTGGCCAACTTTCATTGCTTTCCCGAAAGGGGTTTGGAGTTCCTCCCTCCCCGGCGGCCTGCCTGACAAGTGGGAAGCCAGGCTGGGGAAACCCACCGGCAGCTGCCGTTGGCGCGGGACCAGAGCTCTCGGAGCGCTCCGGCCCGCGTGATGCACTAGAGGACGCCCGTGGGGCGGGGTGGGAGAGCCGGTCAGTGCCGAGGCGGCGGCGGCGGCGGGCGCCGGCAGGAAATGCAGACTCGCCGACTACGCCAAGCAGGTGGTGTGCGGAGGCGAGCGGGAGGGCGCAGGCAGGGCTATCCCGGCTGGCTCAAACTTCTGGGAAGGCGACGAAGGCAGTCGGGCCAGCCGGGCAAAGCGATCGTCGGTACTGGACTCTTCTTCGCCGGCCAGACCGAGCCCAGGGCGCTCCGCTTGGCCAGCCGCTTCCCAGGCCGCGGTTTTGGGGGCGCTCCGTCACGGAGGTTCCAGGCTTGGCTACCGAAGGCTTCGGCGCGCAAAGGCCGTGGACGGGTGCTCCCTTCTGGGGAGAGGTACTCCGACCGACCGTTTCCTCCGTTTGGGGGATCGGCGAGGTTTTCGCCGGCCCATGTTGAGAAACCGACTCTTGGGTAGGAAATGTGCCGGTGCCGGTGCCGCCGCGCTCTCGCTCCCAAGACCGCAGTCCGAAATCCCTTCTCCCTCGGTGGGTTTTGCCGCCCGCCGCGAGCTTCCCTAGCCGGCAAGGCCCGATGTCAACTCCAGATACGGCCGAGGAGCTTGTTCGCACGTCTTCCAGCCCTGCAATCGCCTTGCAAGGAACGGATGCACGTCCCTGCGGGTGAAGATAGAAGGATAACTCCCTTCTGGGCAGGAAGCGCTAACCGATGCCCAGGGCGGAATGCCAAGGTGGCTGTGTCCCAGCGGGAAAGCGGGGAAGGTGGAAGGGGCAGAAAATTAGGAGAAAGGCATAGAGTTTCTCAAACGAAGCGGAGTGGATCAGGACGATAAGCGTTAAGGAGTGCGGAAGTTAAAAAAAAAAGGAAAGGGGATCCGGCCATTTCAGTGTCAGAAGGCACCACGCCTGTTTTGCCTCGCCATAGTGCACAGTGCAAAAGTTGAACACTGAAATAATGGTAGTGGCAGAGCAAGCGGTTGTGGCTGAAATCACTTCAAGATCTTTTTCAAAACTCTGCCATCTTTCCAGGTCTTTTGAGACACAAATACCATAAGCCTCACTTGGCTCCAGATTATCATACTCTATTTGTTGCTGTAATTTCTTGCTACTGACCTAGGAATCTTAGTTTTAATCTAAGTTATATATTACTTGTGCACACACAGCAGGCTGACACTAGGAGTGGCAACGTAGGAGTAGCCACTAGGAGTGGCTGGGAAAGTGCACCCTTTTCCCCTGTTCTTTTTGGTGGCTGGAGGCTGCTTTGGTGGGTAATCAGGCAAGGAGATGGGTCTACCTTTTTTCTTTAAAATACATTTACAACTTTAGATACACTAAAACCACTGAAAATTTAATAACTTTATTTCTTTGGATTTTCACCACAAATCAGCTTGGCAATTGCTCCCTAATGTTCATCAATTTGCCAATTTTGGGAGTGGCAAAAGTGTTGGAAGCTTGACTATAGATAATTACAATACCAATACCCATCACCACAGTTCCACTGAACTTTAGTACTCCAACCGTATTAAGCCAATTAAATTATGTTCTCAGGGTTTCCTTCAATCTCGCATCTATCTTTTTGATCTATCAGTTGACAGCTCCGAACATCTCTCTGAGTTAGGAAGCTCATAAAACACCATTTCCATTTCCATCATCTCTTGCTTTCTCTGTTTTAAGACTTCCCTCTATCTTTGCAAGCAAAATATCCTTAAGCTACAATTAAGACACTAAGCAAAGTAATATACACAAAGACAATGCAAGGAACTTGTGGGCTGAGAAACAGAATTTGGAACAGACTCCTTACTTATGCCAGTAGCTTCAGAATTGCATTGAGACTGAACAAATGCTGCTTACAGGACCAAGAATCACTTCACAAATTATGCACAAACCAGAAAGATGACACTTCATGGAAAGCTGAAGTTGTTGACATTAGCTCCTTCATGAGCACATCTATATAACATGCATGTTACATTTATGAAGTTGCAGTGTTTAAAATCGGGCATTATAAGATACAGATGAAACAGCCCTGATTTTGTTAGCAAAAAGATGACTTTTCCAGAGCATGGCAAAAGAGGCCCCTCAGTAACAAAAGCATTACAGTATTTGCTTGAAAGCCATAAATTTGCCCCATCTGCCATCAGGTGTGATTTACTTTTTCCCAGAGTTCCCAGACAGGCTTGGTCAACCTATCGCTTCCAGAAATACGCAGAATTTCCTGTTGTACTGGTTTGGAATTCTGAAGTTGTTGTTCCGGTACCTCTGGAGGTATAAGCTGAAGAAACTTGGGCTAAAAGAGTGACCAGGCAAGAAAACAGCTGGTGAGAAGACTGGTCAGTAGTCAAAGGAATACATTCCATCTACATAGCTTTTAAACCTGGCTACAATCACTGTTCACCTTTGCCTGTGAAAGATTCCTTATGCTGACTCAGGGAAACATCCCTCCCTCTTCAAGGCACTGGCCAGGGGCAGCACGAGTAAGAGCCAGCGGGGAGCTTACTAAGCTGTGGCTCTGGGCACTGTGCCATCTTGGATCTGGCACCACCTCTGCTTTCTAGGTCCTCTATCCTAATTCAGACCCAGCCAATTGCATGCCCAGCTGCATGTTTAGAGAAAATAAAATTTGGACTCATGTTAAGTTTACTTGAAGAGACCGTAAAGCCCAGCTGGGTTAAAGCATGAGTCTTATGTCAAGCAGAATACCCTGAACTTGTGGCAGAGAGGAGGGGGCTGGTGCCCTTCCTATGGTGCTTGTTATAGCAGCCAGGTCAGGCTTACAATGAGGGTGACAGGAGCACACTGCCTTTGGGAGATCTGGGATGACAAGATGTCCAGTCCAATTACACATGTGCCATCAAAAGATCTGGGGCAGCCTCATGGCTGGTTCCTCTGCAGTCTGTTCAGCTTCTTGAACATAGAAGGATAAGAAGAAACAACATCATTGGATGGCTGGAAGCAGAAAGGACAGTGAAGGAAGAATGTGGGATGTAGCCACATCTTATACCAGCAGCAATAGTGAGGCAATGGGACGTCCACACACTCATATCTGCATCACAACTATGTTACTAGACAAGCAGATTCTGAACTACAGCACACAATCAAACTCCAGAATGCATGAAACACCAAAGAAGTAACCTCAGGCCCAGGGAGATGGGTCTTCTTATTGTGATGTACGATGTGCCTCTTAATGCAAAAGGGCATTCATTCTCTTTCGCTCTGTATATACATACCACACAATATATGATAGGAATGTATATATATACATGTTTATGTTTGATGCATGAGTCTCTTTGTTGTCTGGACATTATTTATGCCTGAGCTAATACGATCCAAAATGTAGCATTCTGCTTAGGAGATGAAGCTGCGTGCTCTATATAGGTAAGCTGTTGGAATGTTTCTCTTGGTCCTTTGTGCCAAGGTAATTTGGGTGTTTTTCAATCAGATATATGGGTTTATGTTATTATATTCTTCTAATGATGTATATGCTGAAGTTCACATGCCTCCCATTGCCACTGCCAAGGAAAATATTTCAAGCATAAAGAATCTGAAAAAAAACCAAACCATTTCCTCATTACCTAGATTTCTTCAAGTATG